GGGGGGGGGGGGGGGGGGTCCAAAACCTATGAAGATGGGTTATATGAGTAAAATGAACCTGACTTGACTGACGTGCATATTTGTGTGTCTCTTGTTCAGACTGTATGATGAACATCCACAAGCGGTGTGTGGCCAACGTCCCGAGTCTGTGTGGGACAGATCACACTGAGAGGAGAGGACGCATCCAAATCTCTGCTCACATCACTGAGGACAAGCTCACCGTCACCAGTGAGTGCACTCTCCTTCTGTCGTACACACACTGAGCGAACTCTCAGAGCTCTCTGTCAGAACTAAGACTAAAACTGGAAAGTCCATTAGTCGATCAATGATCCAACGATTGACCCACATCGCCACTGGGACATGCATCCACGTGCCAGCTCTCTCTCTCAGACAGCTGTGGATTGATTATGGAACAGAAACTAAACTGTTGTTAAGTGTTGTCAAATGTAGCCAGAGTTATTTAGGGCAGGCCAGAACTTACAGCTCCACATCCTGCTGTCCTCTGGAAAGGACAAATCCAGACTTTAACATGAAACAGTCTAAAAGTGTGTATTATCTTGGGATTTTTTTTTTTTTCTTCTGACATTTTAACTATTTCCTGAACCTCTCGCAGTCAAAGAGGCTAAAAACCTGGTGCCCATGGACCCCAATGGCCTGTCAGACCCCTACGTCAAGCTCAAGCTGATCCCAGATCCCAAGAGTGAGAGCAAGCAGAAGACCAAGACCATCAAATGTTGCCTCAACCCCACCTGGAACGAGACCTTCGTTTTGTGAGACATCTCTCATTCTGTACCATATCTCGCACCTGACAATGATCTTGTTTTTGGCATTGTTGGAGTATAACTTGTTTGGTTTCTCTCTTGGCCCCATTTTCTGTCACAAAAGCACAAACCTAACTGGAGCTCATGCAAGTGACCCTGTCCCCATTCTTCCTGTTTTTTTGCTTGTATCTATTCTGGGTTGCTGTGACTGCTAGAAAAGGCACAGGCATTAAAAACTGTAATTTTCATTTTTTGTGGAGGTGTTTATCAGTTTTAATAAAATCAAATTGTGTTCTTGGTTTTCGAATCGACTTCTTCTGACTGTCCCCGTTTTCTCTAATTTCTTAGCAACCTAAAAGAAAGTGACAAGGACCGCCGTCTGTCAGTGGAGGTCTGGGACTGGGATTTGACCAGCAGGAACGACTTCATGGGATCTCTGTCCTTTGGGATCTCAGAATTACAAAAACAAGGGGTAGATGGATGGTAAGATGTCAAGATGAGGAAATACGAGATGGTGGATAATTGGGAAAGTTACACAGGTGGAGACTGAAATAACGAAGGCAGAGAAAACCGGGGTGTGAATATTTAAGGGCTTTATTGTCACAGTCGGGTAATAATTCTGGATTTGATCTGACACTGCTCTGTTTCATTCTGTGGTTTAGGTTTAAGATGCTGTCTCAGGAGGAAGGGGAATACTTTAATGTTCCTGTGCAGCCGGAGGGAGAGGAAGGTAACGAGGAGCTGCGACAAAAGTTTGAGGTGGGACAAAGAAAATGAAAACAGGTTCACTTATGATGTCCTTGTTTTTGTTTTTTTTAAATATTAGGGTTATTTATTCTGTCCTCCATAATCTTGTTCCTTCTCTCTCCAGAGGGCGAGAGTTGGTCCAGGGAAGCCCACAGACTCTTCTTCCTCCTCCTCGGTGTGCAAGTATGACAGCAATGGCAATCAGGACCGGGTCAAGCTCTCCGACTTCAACTTCATCATGGTTTTGGGCAAAGGGAGCTTTGGCAAGGTGATGCACCTTAGTAGACAAATGTTTTCCTGTGGTGAGAAATTGGAGGCAGTGGCTGGAAAAGAAAGTGAAATGACTCTGAAGCTCATGTGTTTCCTTTTTGTTGACCCCACCCAGGTGATGCTGGCTGAGAGGAAGGGTACAGATGAGTTGTACGCCATCAAAATCCTGAAGAAGGACGTGGTGATCCAGGACGATGATGTCGAGTGCACCATGGTGGAGAAGAGAGTCCTCGCTCTCTCCGGAAAACCACCTTTCCTCACTCAGCTGCACTCCTGTTTCCAGACCATGGTAGGGTATCTTGTATTAACAAAGAGGAGCACATGCAGAAACACAACAACTTGTAACACAGTGCTGACTGATTATCATTATCCTCCTCTCTTCATCTTCTAACAGTCATTCATTGCAGAAATTGTCCACAACTACAAACACTTGTGTTTGACGATACTGAGATTTATTGAAAATACAGATGTCATTGTGA